GAAGATACCAGTCAGCAACGGAGTCGCTACCCGTTCTGAACGGAGGAGGCAGACAGCGCGGTGCCATTACGGCACGTCAGAAAAGGCTCCATTTTTAAGCACATAATATATTTAAATATCTTCAGCGATGTCAGATGCTAAACTTTTAACTTCCAGGCCAATTATCTCCCTAAATTAAGTAACGAACAAATAAATTAATTTTTAATACCTGACGATCACTACTTGACCAAAAGTGAGATTTATTCCATTCATTTGAGCGATGAAGATCGCAGCAACAGCTTCGTACAAAGCTGTGCCATCCATATTGATCGTTGCTCCGACGGGCAGGATGAAACTTGTCACTCGTTTATCCACGTGGTTTTCTTCTTCCATACACCGAAATGTAACGGGCAAAGTCGCAGCGCTGTAAAGCAATCATATTTCAGATTAAATTATAGTGTTTAATAAAATAAAACCTTTATAGCTATAAACGTTTTTCACTGAGAAGCCCTGCTGGTATGCAATGAGTCACGAGTCATATCGACACATTAGGATATGTTTAGGTTTTATATTGACCTTATTTGATGTGACTCCTTCTTCAACGATGACGGCTGGCCATAAGTAGTCCATTCCAGCAAAAAGTTCTTGTGTTCTCAATACTTTGACCATGTCAGTAACGCGGCCACAAAATTCTTTCTGTACCTCGCCTTTGTCAGGTTAGTGATGTTGTCCGGCACGTAGACGTTTGCCCTACTAGTGGAACGGGGACAGCTGTTGAACTAAATGCGGCATCGCTAGCTTCGACGAATGATGAGGGATAAATACCTCGACCATATAGAGAAATAGCCTATTTTCTTCAAGGCATATTTGGCCTCAGCAAACGTGACGATTAAGAAAAAGTGGTTGGCCTTGTCATACAAATTGACTGAGGATACACCATTTACCGAAGCCAACGCGACAGACGTCGTCCAAGAGGCCAACATGCAACATTGAGGAACAAGACTGTGACATATCTGCTTTCAGGGAGTAACGTTTCGCTGTACGATGCAGTAACCGATGTCTCATAGCAAAACTGTTGTGAAGCTGTGAATGCCACGGACGTCGCAAACCGGATCGCTCTGCTAATGCAAGAAAATTGTTCAAAGGTGTTCCGCCAATACAAAAACGTCCTGCCATGCTCAAGCTGATGATCATAGATAAAAACAATTGTTCTTTTTAATTCCGCTGGTTATTGAACTTTATTACGACGGTCTCATGTTGAGTGACTTGAACCGTAAATGAATGTCCAGTGCTGAGATTACATCTCAGTTATCGCACATTTCATAAAATGCTCGATTGATTGAAGGCGCTAAGTCTGATTGATTGGTTGACTAACTGATTAACAGTGTAGTGTACTCTTTCGAGTATAGTCCTAGGAACGACTGCAGCAATGCCAAAGGGACCAGGGAATATCAGTACTCTGACTGTCTAAACAACCGACAACTGCTATTGCTGTAGATATCGTCTCTATGCAGATTAATGCTTCATTGGTTTTTTTCTGAAACGTGGAAAAAGTCTGTTTAAAGTTCCATGCATGCGTTATCGACGATTATTTTTCCAACCGTTTATATGAGCTTAAAGACTTTTTTGGTTTTAGGATACATCATATAATCAACTGGAATAAGTTAACTTGCACCATTTATAAATCACTCCACCTTCATTGTTAACGTCTTAAAAAACAAAACAAAAAAAACTTTGCGATCGACGCGTTATATGCACCTTGACGAAGTTCCTATGGCAGTGATCCATGCTTTCAAAATTCCACGCATGAACTTGTATGGATTCTGGCGGGTCGACAGAAGAAAGATTAATGGTAAAACGGCCAAGCAATGAATGATCAGGCCCAAGAGAACGGTGGTCATGTACAAACCGAGCATCTGAGCGGTTACTGCCAAATCTGCTATGTTAACAATGCGTCCAATTATCATAGACAGTATACCGATTGGTGAGTACCTAGAATATGTAAACATTTAAAATATTAATTCGAAGTAAAAGCATACAAATGCTTTATAAAACGATGCTGATTGATCAAAAATATCTTCTGCGTGTCGAAATATATTAATATGTGAATCCTTTCCTCAGAGTCACTTGCTAAAGAGTAATATACCTGTCCTTTCATCGATACAGAGCCAGCCTTTCGTTGTATTTGTATGCACAACGTATCTCATATTATTTTGTTGTCAAGAGCAATACTTTGCTCGCTAATGCGATCATGTAGGAGTAGGTCATCTTACGGGATTCATGAAATAACAGCATATGCTTATTGATATACCTGAGTATATTAATCGCTATTCTTCTTATCCGTTTGTGTCGAAGACGACGCCAGGTACCGTGAGTATAATCTTTTGTGAGATTTCACACTCTTAACCAACTTTCAAGCGGGTATCTCTCAGATTCTTCAAATACTTTGGTGAAATCGACGAATATCGCAAAGAATTTGGATCTCCATTTCTATTAGCTGTTTCATTGTAAATATCTGGCATGAACTTTCTCTACCTGACCTGAATCCAAAGAAC